TATGCTAAAATACCGAAACATTTAATACGAGATAACGCGAATTTGTTGATTCTCTTTAAACAGGACGGTACTAATTTGCGACACGTGTACAACGATCACGTGAATACCGACATGTCGTACGAGAATTTTCACGCTCTGTGTCGCGCGTGTTGGCAGCGCAAGTACGGTTTCCTAGTGATAGATAAAGATAGCGCGCTCCGTAACGGTAGATACAGACGAGGATTTAACGACTTCGCCGTACCGTAGAGTGATCAGTCGTCGCGGATACGTTGAACACATCGATCGCTCTTCCGTGCCCGAGCGAGAAGGATCGTTAATCGTGATGACTACGACGACGGATATCGGCGAACGAGAGAAGACGGCGAGAGAGATCGATCGAACGCGAGCGTCTATTCGTAAAAAACACAGAGCATTGAACACCGGCAAAATGGAGAACGAGATCGCTATGGAGAGCCGTTTTAAGCCGATCGTCGAACCGTTGCGGCGCATCGCCGAACGCGCCGAGCTAGACGAGATCGAGCGAGACGCGATCAAACGCGAGACGATTAAACGAGACACCATCGACGCCGCGCCTACGATGACGAGTATCAAGAGAAAATGGGAGGAGGAAGAGCTGACCCCTGCGCGGGAAAAGCCTAAAGTGAAACGACTACGAGCGCGACGACGATTGGACGTTGTCTCTACTCCGTTAGACGCGTCTCTCGCCGAACACCGCAAAATGGTTGAGAGAGATCCATTTGCACGAGGTAGGGAGGAGATGTTCGAAACCGAGAATCTCGAATCGCCCTCGACGCTCGAAACATCTATTAGACGAACTCTGCGAACTCCTCAAGGTCGCGATATGCTGCACGGTCAGCTAGGACCGTTGGGACGTGAGTACGTTGGTGCTCTTCTCGGTGGGGAAAAATCAGACAAGATCGATCACGTCTACGGGGTGTACATCGGCGAGGACGGCGCGATGCTCGGTGACAAGCGATTCGACGTAGACGCTGATGACTCTATACTTATAGACGGAATCAGATATATCGGTACTCCCGGTTTGTACGAATTAATCTTCAAGAGACTTTCCGACGATCTTATATATACCGAAAGCGATAAACTAACATATAACAGTATATTGTTAACGACAAACGCTCACAGACGTGATGCTAGTAAAGCTGTTTTAGGAAATAAGGGATATAAATATAAAAACGTCATCGCTCCGCTTATCCACAATGACGGCGCGAAAAAGGTGGGCGCGGGTCGCATACCATCAACCATGCGAGTCACGGGCGAAAGAGTCGATTACGTTCACTGGGACGATCCAAATGAATTAGTGGATCGCCTGCAATTACTCGATGCTTCGCGTCAAGCTGGTAACGATGCTCACGACAACGAGATTCTATCGATAATCGATGAGCTTCGCGAAACAGGCGCTATCGTATAAATCTAATCGTCGCGTCGACGGTCGCCGCAGTTGTACACGAGATGCGCGCGATATCGACGCGATGTCCGTGAGCAGATTCGGTATACCTCTGCAGAAACGCGGCTACGACGCGAAGAGAGAAAGATTACGCCCAGCTTTCGAATCTTTGCGAAATTACGTGCGCGTTAACGCGCTGTGTCTGGGTTCCTCCGTCGACTACAACACGAGAGAACGCAAGATAAGACGCCTGGCCTCGCCGGAGGAAGACACCGACGCGACGAGCAAGAGTTACGTCGAACTCGCGTTACGCGCCGCGAGAGAGGACGAGATCGGATATCGCGAAAGCGCCGAGAAAATCACATCGCAATTGAGAAAAGATACAAACGAGGTGAGACAGACAACTGTCCTACTGTTCACGAGACTCACTCAGCTCGATAACGCTATGAGCAAACAGATAAGCGTTGTGGAGAGTAATGTTTCAAAAATCGAAACAAACGAGAACGTTCTGCGTAAACAAATAGACGCTGTGGAAAATTCCATTTCGAAAATTGTAGCGAGCGCCAACGCTCTAAATAAACGGATCGACGCTGCGAAAAATACGCTATAACACTACGCGGAGCGCTGATAATCGTACAGCGATACGGGAATTGATCGAGAAATCGCTGTAGATTCCGAACGGGACGCAAAGCGATTTGGAGAAAATCGTGGTATCACGCTTTAGAATGAATGTCGAAAAATGAATACTGGTAGAGGAGTTGCACGCGCCCGCGAGAAGAAACTTCCCGCGACGTCGCGTCACGATGCGCGGGTACGACGACTTGTGGCAAGCGGATTTGGTCGAGATGCGTCCTTATGCGAGACGTAACAAAGGTTACAACTACATACCCACTGTTATCGACGCGTTAAGCAAATACGCGTGGGCCGTACCGCTCAAGAGCAAGAGCGCTAGCGAGGTTGCCCGAGCCTTATCTAAGATAGTGCGAGACTATAAGCGGTGACCGAAAAATTTGCAAACGGACAAAGGGAAGGAATTCTACAACGTCGAAGTGCGGAAGGTAACGAAGAAGCGTGGAATAAATCATTATTCAACGTATTCGATGATGAAGGCGTCGATCGTCGAACGATTCAATCGCACACTCAAGAACTCCATGTGGAAGTACTTCACGCTGAACGGAACGTACAAATGGATCGACGCGTTGCCTCGACTCGTCGAAGAGTACAATGCGCGAAAACATCGTACTATCGGTATGAAACCTATCGACGTAACTCCCGCGATCGCCGATAAATTTTTAAGTACGGTATACAGCAACGTAAAGATCGCGGCTCCGACGAGATTCAAAATAGACGATCCGGTACGCGTCAGCAAATTCAAAACGATCTTCGAGAAAGGTTTTACACCCAACTGGACCACCGAGATCTTCCGAATAGCAAAGATACAACGAACCAATCCCGCGACGTATCTATTGAAGGATTCGCGCGACGAACCAATCGCCGGAGGATTCTACGAGCACGAGTTGTCACGCGTTTCCGATCCCGACGTGTATCTCGTGGAGAAAGTGCTGCGTTGAAAGGGCGACAAGATTTACGTAAAATGGCTGGGAATAGACGAGTCGCACAACTCTTGGATAGATAAATTAGTTATATTATGATAACAATGTATTTGATTTAAAATCTAAAATTTTATTAGAAATAAACTGTTATTATTTATAAACTAAGCTGTTATTATTTATAAAATAGACAATATTATACTTATAGTAACAATAAGCTATACACGTTTTATCGATTAAAAAATAAAGTTTATTAGAATTTTCGATACAATATGTGATATTTTTCGTTTTACATCGGTGTTCTATAATGCCCCCATGGTAAAGTATCCGTAGTTCAGGGTTCGATGTATCGCTTGTCGTCGTACGGATTGAGCGCAATCTTCGATTCCGACACTGTGTACACCTCGTGTAACTTGGATCTTACGCAGGACTGCTCGCGCGTTATCTCGATCTCTCGTCGCAGACAGCGCGCGTAATCGTCAAACGTTATCGTTCTCGCGACGACGCCGCTTTTAACGCCCTTGATCTTCTTCGTGTCGAGTTTACCTTCGACTCGCAGCGCGTACATCTTCGCTCTGAGCCCGACGAATTCCGTCATGATCGCGCCATTATTCTCGTCCTTCATTAAACCCGGCACTTTTTTGTTAGCGAGAGATATGCCGTATGCATTATCCACCGCGTAATCGCTTGTGTCGAATCTATCGATGTCGCGCTTCATATCCTCGTACATATCCTCGCACTCGACGCGATAGATGAGACTATCCGTGTCGGTGTACATTATCCTGCACTTGTCTCGATACAACGGTAACATATATTCGTAGTGAAATTCGTATAAACAATTCTTGGACACATCGAGAATGCACATTCCTACGTAAATCGGTTTGTTGAATTTAACCTCGAGTTTGCGCAATTCCACGGCTACGAGATCTTCCGCGAAAACGCTTCTGCTGTGAAAGTTCGGCTTCGCGATCATCGCCTCCGCGCCGTATCGCCCATCCCATCGAGTCACGAGCCGGACATCGGAATGATTGCGCACATTCTCCATAATCTTACCAAACACGGCATTATTCATCAATTTGTATAGATTTTTTTCGAATTCGTTTTTCGCGCTAGTTCGCAATTGCGTGTTCAGTTCGATGTATCCGCGCAACCATGGAGATTGCGTGAATCGTAATATTTTATGTATCTTCGTAACGCGTAATCCATGTCGAACGCATTGTTGTAGATTACGATAATACATTATGTAATGGTGCTTATCGTACAGCGTGGCGAGAAGTTTATCCTGTCGTTTTCCGGGCGGACGGAAAAGGAAGCAAAGGATGTCGTAAAAGGTATAGCAGAATTAACTGAACAGGTAGCCGAACCGAGCATGCTGAGTATGCGCGTTGCCGAAAAGTCTCAAGTGATTACATCATCAACTTCGATGTTATGGACATTAGGTTGATGCTCGTAACATCGTCGACCCATTGAAAATCTTCGTAAGGCAACGATTGACACATCGCCCATCCGTACAGATTATTTACATCGAAATACATAAGATACGACGGTGGTTCCGAGGGATTGTACGATTGTACGTACTTGTTATTAGCGCGCGCGTATCTATTGGAACATTGACTTAGCCCGCCGCGTATTCCGCGTTCCACAAACATTATCATATCGATGTCGGTTAACAGCTCGAATCGAACACCCGTATGCTTTAACATAGCATCCCACGTGTATCCGGGTAACGTGTAATAGTGCGCGGGATCTAAACCATAACTCTTTGCACACGCGTCGCGAAAATTTTCGAAGACATCGGCCAATAGAAGAACATCGGTTTTCAGATACAGATCGCTATAGTCACCCAACGTCTCGACGCGAAACCGCTCCCAAACTCTTATCGCGCGCGCGTAATCGCTAGCGGATACGATATCACCAGTCAACGAACTGTAGAACGCCTCCCGCGGCGGTAGACAAGTCTCCAGCAACTTATCAACGCTGTCGACGTATTCGTACGAAAATACACCTTTTCGCGTAAAGAGCTCGATACGACGCTAATTTTTCGAGACTCACGCTTAGAAACTTGAAGGAATCCACGAAACGCAATTTCACGCGTCTTCCGAACTGTCCCCCGTTCGATGCGTGTTCGATGTTCTTTGTGAAGGAGATGTACGTTTCTTTCGTCAACGGCAACAATTAGATGCTACCGGGAAAAGCGTTAGCCACATCTCTGATAATGAAATGCGCGTCGTAGCCCGATAAATTGTGAAAGAATATAGGAATGACGTACGCTTCCTTATAATTTAGATTACAATTCGAATGCGCGGGACCTCTGTATCATCCGGTCAAATGACTGTGATCGCGTACGCGAGTATCTTCCGGTTCGAACGGTCTCTCGCACACGTGACAATGCGTCGCGTTCTTGAATCTCTCCCATTCATCCGGTGTAAGATCCGTCATAGGCACATAGGCGTCGAGAATATTCCTCGCGCTAAGGGCTAGATCGTACAGTTCCCGAACGAACCACGATATGCAATTCTCACCGCAATAAGCTCTGTACACCGATTTAGCGTCGTCGAACGCGCATCGCGCGTAATATCCCGCGCTATAGACCTTATGATGTTGAACGATGGACGTGTTCGATGTTCTCTTCTCTTCCTTCTTCTCTAGCGCGCATTCCAGATCGGCGTACACCACGAACGGAAGTCGCTCCTTTCTATTATGGTTGCGAAAATGTAGCCACTCGTCGTCTTCGGTAGGAAGAACGATAGCGCACTCGTTCATTCTTCCGCAGTCCGCGCTATGAGCCGATAAATTTTCGCTCGTTCGAAAATAATGCATACATCTACAACATAACACTTATTTTTTACATCGCGTACATTATTTAAAATGTGTAATACATTTCTTTTTTCTTATTAGTTTCATGCTTACCGATCGCATATGTGCGCTTTATGTTGTCGAGCGTTCAATTGCGAGCCGATGAGACGGGACAGATCCCCGATACACGCGAAGTGCGCCGCGTTGTCTCGTCGCGTCGTATCGCTCAGATACAACAGATTGACGTGTCTTTTCTTCCTGTCGTTAGTGAGACGCAGAGGAGCGATACCGCCGCCGCCTTTCTTGTTCTTCTTATCCAGAACGGTATACACATTGATAGATATATCGTTAAAACGCTCGAACCTGGTGATTCCGTTATCGCGCTCCTGAAACTCCTCCAGCGAAGCTAGAATAGCTTTGATCACGCGCCTCCTGTACCACTCTCGCAGATCGGACGTAGGTAGAAGCGGATGATTCTTCGTGGCGACGGTCTTAACGGCGATCTTGTCGCCCGAGACGAACTCGCCGTTGAAAGCGGTATTAACCTTAACGCTGTTGTACCTGCCCATAACATCGCGTACTCGATCGAGCACGGTGTCCCCGGCATCCTCGAGAAATCGCAGAGGTTCGATGTAATCGAAATTAATAATCGCGCCGGTTAACACGCGTCTAGCGAAAGCCGTCTCGATCTCGAACCACGAAAATCCCTCGCGTCTCTCGACGCCGCCGCCCACGCGCTCGAAACGTCGACGCAGATCGTCTCTCGCGCCTGTCAATCGAACGATTCGAGCCACCAGAGAATTGATGGTTCCGGTGGATCTTCCCCGGTGCTCGCCTCGACATCTTTCCCGTAGAGATTCGAAACGCTCGTCGCATCGTCGCGCCCACGCGAGATGCGCTTCCGCCGTCGCGATGTTTCGGGCGCTCTCGAGAAGATCGCGCTCTTCCATCGTTTCTCGATCTTTTACTAATTCTTCAATGGACGCCAAGATTTTTTGCTAATACGCCATGTATCTTACTCGTCGTACTCCTCGATGTAAAATAAGCCTCTCGTATCGCATCCGCTGCACCAATGATTCGACGCCTTGAAAATTTCGTCGATGAGATCGCACGCGCGCACTATCTGGCTGAGCACCGTTTTTTTACGTGCGTCGATATGCTTCTAGCAAAAATCGGTTCACGCGCGCAACCCCTGCAATATCTCTCTTCTTCCTCGTGATAGTATCCGTTATCGAATTCGCAACCAAACTTGTAGAAGCAATGCACAACGTGATTAACCTCCCACGAAAATTTGGGAACACCGTATCGCCACTTCCAATTGCGGTAAAGTAAATAGCGGTCTGCTCCAACGTCCGCGAAGGGTTCGTCGAATGGCGCGACGCTCGCTTCTCGCACGAGTTCTTCGGAAAAATCTATTTTTTCTAAACAGTATAAACAATCCTTTATGTAATATTCGCGCAATTCGTTCTTTAAACATTTTGGTATTTCTAATACCCGTATATCTCCGATATTGTTAATACAACTATTTACTACTCTTCTGGTTAGTGTCGTTAAAATATTTGGTGTATGCTTCATTGCGTACGTCGCTTTGAAAATATTTTAGAATAAACTAATATTTTATAATCGTCGCGATCCTTTCATGCGAGAATCTCTCTTTATTCGACCTCCGTCTATTCGAGCGATAACCTCGACGTCGACCTATCCATCGATCTATTTCTAGATCTACGCAGTACGCGCGACAAGTCTCGTATCGCGCCGAGGTTCGCCGGCGATATTTTATTATCTAATCATTTTCAATTTTCAGTATTTACATGTTTCGGTTCGTCGCGACTCCCCGGGTCCTCGGGTCGGAGATAAAGCGACGATCGCGACGCGTCTATCGGAAAAATCGATCGGTAGGCGCAACGATTCTCTCATCTCGTCGTCTTCGATTTATCGTATTTACGTGTCACGGGTCATCGCGACTCCCAAGGTCGGAGATAAAGCGTCGCCCGCGTCTCGCGTCTTTAACGCATCTGAAGCGATAACGCGATCTCTCGACTCGATTTCATCACCCCCTACCCCTCACGCCTCTCACCCCGCTCGAGCTCCGTGGCTTCACCG